TCCAATGTTACTAGTGCTTTCATAGATATCGTGTATGTGTATATATGTACTTTACAGTTTAGTACATTGGAAAATAGCGAGTATTATTGAGCCAGAAGTAAACATGAATGTTAATAGATTGGAATGTGTAAATGAAAAGAGAATTAAACAGTTGAGTCCCTGTTATTCGCAGGGGTCGGGTTCCCAGAAATGATTCAAATACTAAATTTGTAGATAGGGGCCATACTCCAAGCAAAAAAAAAAAAAAAGTCAATGAAGACCAAGAAAAAATAATGAATACGTATAAGGAATTATAGATAGTAGGTTGGTAGACAGCAACCACCCAGGGAAGTACTACCGTCCTGCCAGATGACTGTGAAACAGAAACCTGTAACTGTTTTGCATGATGGTAGGATTGCTGGTTTCTTTTTCTGTCTCATAAACACGCTAGATAACAGGGATATCTTGCTACTCCTACTTACACTTTGGTCACAGTTCACAGACACGCACATGCATATATATATACATACATCTAGGTTTTTCTCCTTTTTCTAAATAGCTCTTGTTCTTCTTTATTTCTTCTATTGTCAATGGGGAAGTGGAAAAGAATCTTTCCTCCGTAAGCCATGCGTGTCGTATGAGGCGACTAAAATGCCGGGAGCAATGGGCTAGTAACCCCTTCTCCTGTAGACATTTACTAAAAAAGAGAAGAAGAAAAACTTTATAAAACTGGGATGCTTGAATGTGCATGGATGTAGTGCGGATGACAAGAAACAGATGATTGCTGATGTTATGAATGAAAAGAAGTTGGATGTCCTGGCCCTAAGCGAAACAAAGCTGAAGGGGGTAGGGGAGTTTCGGGGGGGGGAAATAAATGGGATTAAATCTGGAGTATCTGAGAGAGTTAGAGCAAAGGAAGGGGTAGCAGTAATGTTGAATGATCAGTTATGGAAGGAGAAAAGAGAATATGAATGTGTAAATTCAAGAATTATTTGGATTAAAGTAAAGGTTGGATGCGAAAAGTGGGTCATAATAAGCGTGTATGCACCTGGAGAAGAGAGGAATGTAGAGGAGAGAGAGAGATTTTGGGAGATGTTAAGTGAATGTATAGGAGCCTTTGAACCAAGTGAGAGAGTAATTGTGGTAGGGGACCTGAATGCTAAAGTAGGAGAAACTTTTAGAGAGGGTGTGGTAGGTAAGTTTGGGGTGCCAGGTGTAAATGAAAATGGGAGCCCTTTGATTGAACTTTGTATAGAAAGGGGTTTAGTTATAGGTAATACATATTTTAAGAAAAAGAGGATAAATAAATATACAAGATATGATGTAGGGCAAAATGTCAGTAGTTTGTTGGATTATGTATTGGTAGATAAAAGACTGTTGAGTAGACTTCAGGATGTACATGTTTATTGAGGGGCCACAGATATATCAGATCACTTTCTAGTTGTAGCTACACTGAGAGTAAAAGGTAGATGGGATACAAGGAGAATAGAAGCATCAGGGAAGAGAGAGGTGAAGGTTTATAAACTAAAAGAGAGGCAGTTAGGGTAAGATATAAACAGCTATTGGAGGATAGATGGGCTAATGAGAGCATAGGAAATGGGGTCGAAGAGGTATGGGGTAGGTTTAAAAATGTAGTGTTAGAATGTTCATCAGAAGTTTGTGGTTACAGGAAAGTGGGTGCAGGAGGGAAGAGGAGCGATTGGTGAATGATGATGTAAAGAGAGTAGTAAGGGGAGAAAAAGTTAGCATATGAGAAGTTTTTACAAAGAAGTGATGCAAGGAGGGAAGAGTATATGGAGAAAAAGAGAAGGTTAAGAGAGTGGTGAAGCAATGTAAAAGAGAGCAAATGAGAGAGTGGGTGAGATGTTATCAACAAATTTTGTTGAAAATAAGAAAAAGTTTTGGAGTGAGATTAACAAGTTAAGGAAGTCTAGAGAACAAATGGATTTGTCAGTTAAAAATAGGAGAGGAGAGTTAGAGGTATTGGGAAGATGGAGGGATTTTTTTGAGGAATTGTTAAATGTTGATGAAGATAGGGAAGCTATGATTTTGTGTATAGGGCAAGGAGGAATAACATCTTGTAGGAGTGAGAAAGAGCCAGTTGTGAGTGTAGGGGAAGTTCGTGAGGCAGTAGGTAAAATGAAAGGGGGTAAGGCAGCCGGGATTGATGGGATAAAGATAAAAATGTTAAAAGCAGGTGGGAATATAGTTTTGGAGTGGTTGGGGCAATTATTTAATAAATGTATGGAAGAGGGTAAGGTACCTAGGGATTGGCAGAGAGCATGCATAGTTCCTTTGTATAAAGGCAAACAAAGGGGACAAAAGAGAGTTCAAAAATTATAGGGGGATAAGTCTGTTGAGTATACCTGGTAAAGTGTATGGTAGAGTTATTATTGAAAGAATTAAGAGTAAGACAGAGAATAGGATAGCAGATGAACAAGGAGGCTTTAGGAAAGGTAGGGGGTGTGTGGACCAGGTGTTTACATTGAAACATATAAGTGAACAGTATTTAGATAAGGCTAAAGAGGTCTTTGTAGCATTTATGGATTTGGAAAAGGCGTATGACAGGGTGGATAGGGGGCCAATGTGGCAGATGTTGCAAGTGTATGGTGTAGGAAAGGGAGGTTACTGAAAGCAGTGAAGAGTTTTACGAGGATAGTGAGGCTCAAGTTAGAGTATGTAGGAAAGAGGGAAATTAATTTCCCAGTAAAAGTAGGCCTTAAACAAGGATGTGTGATGTCAACCGTGGTTGTTTAATATATTTATAGATGGGGTTGTAAGAGAAGTAAATGCGAGGGTCTTGGCAAGAGGTGTGAAGTTAAAAGATAAAGAATCACACATAAAGTGGGAGTTGTCACAGTTGCTCTTTGCTGATGACACTGTGCTCATGGGAGATTCTGAAGAGAAGTTGCAGAGATTGGTGGATGAATTTGGTAGGGTGTGCAAAAGAAGAAAATTAAAAGTGAATACAGGAAAGAGTAAGGTTATGAGGATAACAAAAAGATTAGGTGATAAAAGATTGGATATCAGATTGGAGGGAGAGAGTATGGAGGAGGTGAATGTATTCAGATATTTGGGAGTGGATGTGTCAGCGGATGGGTCTATGAAAGATGAGGGGAAAAGGGTGAGTGGTGCACTTAGGAGTCTGTGGAGACAAAGAGGTTTGTCCTTGGAGGCAAAGAGGGGAATGTATGAGTATAGTTTTACCAACGCTCTTATATGGGTGTGAAGCATGGGTGATGAATGTTGCAGCGAGGAGAAGGCTGGAGGCAGTGGAGATGTCATGTCTGAAGGCAATGTGTGGTGTGAATATAATGCAGAGAATTCGTAGTTTGGAAGTTAGGAGGAAGTGCGGGATTACCAAACCTGTTGTCCAGAGGGCTGAGGAAGGGTTGTTGAGGTTGTTCGGACATGTAGAGAGAATGGAGCGAAACAGAGTGACTTCAAGAGTGTATCAGGTCTGTAGTGGAAGGAAGGTGGGGTAGGGGGTCGCCTAGGAAAGGTTGGAGGGAGGGGGTAAAGGAGGTTTTGTGTGCGAGGGGCTTGGACTTCCAGCAGGCATGCGTGAGCGTGTTTGATAGGAGCGAATGGAGACAAATGGTTTTTAATACTTGACGTACTGTTGGAGTGTGAGCAAAGTAACATTTATGAAGGGGTTCAGGGAAACCGGCAGGCTGGACTTGAGTCCTGGAGATGGGAAGTACAGTGCCTGCACTCTGAAGGAGGGGTGTTAATGTTGCAGTTTAAACTGTAGTGTAAAGCACCCTTCTGGCAAGACAGTGATGGAGTGAATGATGAAAGTTTTTCTTTTTCGGGCCACCCTGCCTTGGTGGGAATCGGCCAGTGTGATAATAAAAAATAAAATAAAATAAGTACACGTATAAGGAATGCAAATTACGGTGTTCAACTTATGAGTTATCAAGTATTCATTGCTAAACACATATTAACTTATCATGGAACAATTGGGGTTTGAACTCATGGTGAGTCGTCATGAATTCAGATCCCACCCATTCCATATTTGCATGTGTGTTATCACGATTTCATGAGTCATATGTTTACTTGATTGTGTAATTTCAACCATTTTTAATACTTCTTCTCTGCATAAGAGGATACAAATAAAATCCTAGAAATTTGCAGTAATGCAAGTGAGGATGAAAATAAATTATAGAAAATCACAATTACAAGTGACACTACTCAATTAGATTAAAAACAAACAAATCACCAGGCCTTGGTGAACTGTTTTCCAGCATTCTAAAGAAATGTAAGAAGGAATTTGGCAAACTGTTAGGTGGTATCTTCAACAAATCACTACAAATGGGTATTGTACCAACTAAGCAAAAAATAGCAAGCAGGAGATAGATCCTTACTTTCAAATTACGAACCAGTCGGCTTAACTTCATCTGTGGGAAAGGTGTTTGTTGGCGTCAGTAATTGATGATGTAATTCCAAGCTGCCTTGAAAGATATAATTTGATCATTGAATCTGAACATCCAACAGGCTTATATGAATGCATTATATGGAAGTGGGTGAAGACTAGTGATTTTTATTGCTTGATGTTCTGTTGAAGTGTAAGTACGATAATATTTGTGAAGACATTCAGGGAAACCAGTTAGCAGGACTTGAGGACTGGAAGTGGGAAGCACAGTACATCCACTAAAGGATGGATGAGGATGTTGTAGTTCAGAGGGTCATCTGAACTGTGATATCAGTACACTTCTGGAAAGTCAGTAATTGAGTGAATTATGGTGAATATGTGCCCTCTTGATGTTAGGTCACCCTACCTAGGTGGGAGATAGCCAGTGTGTTAAAAAAATTGGAATGAGGACCCATTACAAATCAGACCTGTCTAGCATGGGCTAGTAGACCTACTACTGTCTAGCATGGGTCGGTAGGCCTGCTGCAGTTCTCCACTATTTTTATGTTAATAGAAATATGCATCTAATTAAGTTTGTCAAGCATAGAATTGTGTGTTGCAGCCTTTCACCACATAAGTTTATGTTTGACTTTTCTACTCAATGCAGGATTCCTTTGGCGAAGACAGTAAGTCGAAGGTTACTACTACACCATCAGTCTCTATAACTTTAGCAGCCTTGACTGCAGCTGCCTCTGCAGCCACAGTCTCCGATTCCACTAATGGACCAAGATTAAAAGTGGAAGACCCCTTTTCCAACTCCACACTTGCAGATAGTTCGTTCAGTCCCTCCAGTGGATTAACCACAGATGACCGATTACACATAACAGAAAATGGTAAGTTTGCCTCCTATAATAGAGCTATTACTGTATAACTCGCCACTGTTAATACACTTGTGACTGATGTACTTGGTATATACGAAAAGTCAGGTTATGCTTCTTGTACATTACTATGTTCTAAGATGATTGTGCAAGATCTGTCACAGAAATACTTTATATTCATGAGAATCATTTTTAACTTTTGTAACACCTGTGTTGGTATGAAAAAGCAGTTAGTAATTGTTTGACTACTCCATCTTACCTCTGTTATTTCCTTCAAAGGGGGTGCCTTGATGGGAGGATATGGAACTGCCCTCATTCTTGGGTCAAATCTGATTGCTTTGCATTCCCAGGTGTTGTGTAACCCATATATGTTTAGTGCTTTCGTGTAAATTTAATATATTGCTACTGCAGCCATACAGCAATGTGATCTCTTGTATCCTGATACCCCCATCGTTCTGATGATGTAATTTTCCTAGAACCATTCTAATATTCATATACCCCATTGCCCATTGATTAATTTACTCTGGACAGGGGGGTTTGCTTTTTTTCTTGTGTTTATTGCAAGCCTCCAAAATTTTTGGGAAAAAATCCCGTATGTTCAGGGAATTTTTCCTTACCTAAATTGTTTTTCTTTGGTCTTTTTTATTTTAAAATTTACCAATAAAAACCAAAATTTTAAGATTATTTGTTAAATGTGGAAAAAAACAAGGGGAAAGAGTCATAACAGCCATAGTATTTTTCCCCAAAAATTGTTTTCTGCCCTTTTTTTAAACCCCCTAAGCTTTTTAAATCTGGTTTACCATTTTTAAAGAAAAGGGGACACCCAAATAAACCCACACATGGGGGGCCCAACTTTAAAACAACTTTGGGGTTTTTTTGGGCCCTTTAAACCCTTTGAGGGTCGAAAAGGCCCCCCCAAAAACTTTTCTCAGGGTGGGCCCAAATTTTAAAAAAAAAAAATATTTTTTCTTATGAAAAGATAGAGAATTTTTTCCTGATCAAAAATGAAAACCAAAAAAGTATAAAATTTGAGGGAAAAATTTAAGGGAAATTTTTGCTCTAAACGAATTTTACGGTCTAAACGATGTTTACACATCGGCGTTTTTGCCCACTTTTGACCCTATTTTCGCCCAAATTTCCAATTTTACAATCGCAAAAACATAACTATTTTGCTAGAACTCCATTTTTTCTATCGAATGAGTACAAAAAACCACCCATTTACCTTTTTAAACTATCCAATAAATTTGGTCAAAATTTAGCAATTTTCCCCAATTTTTCACACAAATTTCAAAAGATGCCAATTTCCAAATTTAGGGTCCAAAAATAAAAAAAAAAAGACTTTCCCTTTGACACTAAAATAAAAAGTTCTCTGTTCGTTAGTCACGTCCCCAGGCCTCTTATATTTCTTTTAATTCCACTTTGAATTTTTATTCTTACAAAAAATAGAAATTTACTGTTATGCGACTACTCCCTTTTTTGTAGAAAGGGGAAAAAAATAAATAATATCAGCGCACTTGGGGAAAGAATATTAGCCCGCCAGTTGACGTGTTTTGGACGTTGGCCCATGATTTTTTTTCTTTTGAATTTTGGATAAAAATCGAACATTTCTGCATTTTGCGCTAAATTTTCAAGGTACTTTCATTGAAAAACCCAGTCAAAATCATCTAAATTTTTCTGAAATTTTTCTTCCATTCTATAAAATGAGCCCAAAAAAACTGGGAATACAACAATAAAAACCTACGAAAATACAGGGGAAAAAGCCCGTGTTTTTTTCCAAAAAACGGCCCAAATTTTTTTTTTTCTCATTACGCACTGTGTCCCTGCAGGATTTTTTTTATACTGGGGCACACGGGCCACATGGGACCCATTTTTCATAAGTTGCCCCCACCACTTTCTCTCATTAATTTTTAGGGCGCTTGAAATTTTGGGTATAGACGCAAAAAAAACTGGGTCCCCAAGCCGTTTCTAGTACACCAAAAACCCCCAAAGGGTTAATTAGTCACCCAGAAATGGAAAGGAAAAGGGAAACAGTACATACATGAAAAGGGGGTGGGCCCGGGAACAAGAAGAGGTAGTAGAAAAAAGGTAGTACTAAACCTTTTTTTTTAGTGGGGGTTTTAGTAATTTTTAAAAATAGTAAAAAGTAGTAGTATAATAAAAATAATAATAAAAATCAGTGGGTTTTCCTCGATATTTGAAATTTCATCCATTCCAGGAGGCTGTTCGAATAGTGGGGTTTTCTACGAAATTGAATAAATTTTTTTCCCAAAGAGAAAAAAAATTTAAAAGGATTAATCTGTTCCCGGCCCCCCAAAAATTTCAATTATAAAACATTTTTTTAAAAAAAATATTGCTTACTTAACCCTGTTTAAAAAATAATTTTTCATGCATAAAAAACCCTACATGGGAAAAAATTAAATTTCATGAAATAAATGAAAAAATTTTAAATGCACTTTACCCTTTTTGAGGAGTTGTTGATGGCAAAGAGGAAGGGGGAGAGATGTTTTTGTAAGGAAAAAATTGTCACCTTCCATAAAAAATTTAGGTAATGCCTTTGGTTTATTTTTTTTTTCTGTCTCTTTTGTACACTTAAAGATGATGGGGAAATTTTGTTTGCAAATTTTATTAAATTTTTTTTTGCTAAAGAAGCTGTCCAAAGTTTTCTGCTTTTTACAAATTTTCAAAATTTTTCTAAAATGGGTTTACAACATTTTCATTTGAACAGGTTTTATACTCCTATTCACAACCATAAAGTTAGGGGTTCCATTTTTTTCCCCCAGGGGGTCTGTGTTTGAAAAATAGTGGGAAAAATAGTTTTTTTAATTTCGCCTTTGGAAAAGTTTTTGGGTCTTATGCTTCCTCCTCCCCCCTTTGTCCCCCCCTCCTCCTCTGAAGAAAATTTTTTTCACTTAATTCTTGCTGCTCCTTGTGCAGGTCTTTAAGTTCTTTTGTGGTGAGCTCAATTTTTGGGGGTCCTCCACTAAAATTTCCCCAAATTTCCCCATCCCTCCATTTCCCAAATCATGGATGGCCCGAGAAAAAATATCCTTCACTACAGGGTCGCCTCAAAAGCCTTCAGAAACTCTTGACTGACACAGTCTGGCCACAGCTTTTTCCAGGGAAGAGCATTACCCCGTAAAAACTTTTCCCCCCGGCTTTGTCTGTTATCCCTTAAAACCCCTTTGACTGGTTTTAAAACCCAGTCTAAAACTGTCTTCCAAATTTTGCCCCAAAAAAATTCGAAAAAAAAAAATTTTTAAACCCAAAAAGGTTGGGTTAATTTGCTTTAGTTTTTTTAAGCCAAAAAAAAATTTTTTCAAACAGTACTTTCTGAGATATAGAGGTGGGAAAGTTGGCAAAAATGAGCAGAAAAAAATTTTTTTCGTCAGTCGATTTTGAAAAAAATATTCAAGTAGGTTTTTAAGAACAAAACCTTTCAAAAGCCCAGTGCCATTAAAAATCAACCAAAATTCCGGGGAAAAACTTTTTTCCAGCCAATTGCCCAAATTTTTTATCATCAATCTTTCACTAACAAAAGTTTTTCCAATTTTTTTCGTTATTTTGACCTTTTTCACAGCAAGAATTTTCATTACTTTTGCCAAATCAGCCTCTTTTTAAATTTCCTTTTTCATTTTTCAGTATTTGGGCAATTTTTGGTGGATTTTTACCTGACCATTAAATTTAGTGGCCAGGGCCGACCCCCATGTTCCCCTCTTCCACTATGTAATGAGGGTTTTTCTTTCCCAAATTTAATTTTTGTTTCCTGTTTCCTTTTAGGGTTGTTTTAAAAAATTACTTTTTTGGGGGGGGGCCATGAAAAAAGGCTTCCAAAAAAATTTAAAAAAAAACCACAGGGGGGTTTAAAAATGAAATATGTACCAAAAAAATTTTTACAGAACCCTTTTATGAAAAAGGGTTAACCAAAAGAAAGACTGAGCGTGTTATGCTTGTTTTCCCTCAGACTTTGTCCCGATGGATCATTTTGTTTAGGTCAAATATCAGGACATTGTCTGAATACCAAGTCAAATTTTTCTTGAAAAAGTTGGGCGAATATTGAGTTGTATGAATATTGAAATTCCACTGTAATAGTAAATGGTAGTAGTAGTAATAATAATAATACAGTAGTTGTAGTAGTAGTAATAATAATAATAGCAGCAGTAGTAGTAGTAGTAGTAGTATAAGTCTGAGGACGAGAAAAAAAAAAAGAAGAAAAAGGGGCGCTGCAGGAGAGCTAATGGCCCACAAGGGTGGGACCAAAAGCAGTCATGGTATTGTGCCTTTTTATTCTTTATGACAATGATTTTGAATGCAGTTAGAGTAAAGAAATAGGACTATTATCCTTTAACCCTGTCAGGGTCGGTGCTGTACTTGTACAGCTGGAGAGCCAGGGTCAGTGCCATACTTGTACTCATAAATTCTAGCACCTTCAAATCAAGCGGAAGAAAGCTGGTAGGCCTACATATGAAAAATGGATCTGCATGGTCAGTGTGTGCAGTATAAAAAAAATCCTGCAGCATGCGGTGCATAATGAGAAAAAAACTCCGACCATGTTTTTGGTTTAAAACAGTGACTTTACAGTGTATTTTTTTATGGCATTTATGGTTTTATTTTCATTTTCTTGATCTCATTTGATAGAATGGTAGATATATTAAAGAAATAGAGATGATTTTGATTGGTTTCACAATGAAAAGTACCTTGAAATTGAGCTCAAAGTAGTGAAAATGTTCGATTTTTGCTGATGTTCAAGAGTAAACAAATCACACCACGTGTCCAATACATGTTAGCTTGTGAGTCAAATATTCTTTTGCAAGTGCTCTGATATTATTTATACCATTTTTACAATAGTGCAGTAGTCTGCATAACAGTAAATCTTCTATTTTATGTGTGAATAAAAATTGAAAATGGAAAGCAAGAGTAATGTAAGAGGGGCCTGGAGATGTGACTAATGAACAGAGAAAAATGTTATTTTAATGCCAGGAATGTCTGTCTTGTTTATTCTGGACCCTGTTTTGAAA